TAATGGTTCATCAGTGTAAAAGCATATAATTTGTTGGTACATAAAAAATGTGTATATAATTATTAAAAAAATATTCCTATTCACACTCGAATTATATTAAAAGTATTTGACTTGTAATTAAAATATTATTTGAAGTCAATTCATTACTTCTTGGAACAGATGATAACAGTAGAGCAACATAAAAATAATTACGTTAAAAGCGTTATCCTTTGTAGTATTTTTAACATGCTGCATTTGTTTATTGATTTCTACGATACTACTTTATTTGGGTGAATCGATACAGTCTACGTTTAATATTATATACATAATTGTACCATTCGGTTCACAAATCATGATTGTCCTTGTTCCTGCAGGGTTCAGCAAAATATGTACTACTTTACCATTCATCTCTATTAACCTTCGTATCTGAATTCACTCTCTTCTTACTCATATTCTTTTTCACACAATCCATCCATACTTTCTTTTGTCTTTCTCTACCTTTGGAGGCATCCACTTTCAATCTTACTAATTTCTTATCTCTCCGCATAACATGGCTATACTACGCTAAGCTTTTGCTTCTCAACTTCGGTCTTCAAATCTTAAAATAAAATATCGAATTTAATAAATTTATTTCTAAACGGATTTCTATGCAAAACAAGAAACAAATTACTGCTTTTAGCTGTATTTTTAGGCTTATCAATAGTGATGTTTTGAAAATACATATATCTATTATATAAAACTTATTTTATTCATAATTGTATTTCGATTTGCAGAAATATTTTCACTCATTCCTTTCTTACAGTAAAGGACGTATACTGACGTTTTCTGTACAACTCGATATCATATTTCTTCCATGAAATAAATTCGATGTAACATTTCTTTCTGCAAACAATACATTTCTGATGTATGTGATCATTTTATCACTATTGTATTTTATAAAATTGATAGTGATCATATCAAAAGTTGCTATAACTACTTATCTATAGAAATAGTTATCAATTTATTTGTTTTTATGTCCGAATCTTAATAACGATAGAATTTACGATTTTTTTTTCCTTAAATTTTTATGCTTTACAAATTTTATAAGCTAAAATTTATGATAACCAAGATTTGTTTTGTTTTTCTGACATCGAATTCCAAATAAGGCACTTTTTGTTGAATTCTGAAAATTAAAGTAGAAATCAGATATTGAGTTTCGTTGAAAAAGAATACAAATCATTTGTGAAGCCGAATTGCGTACAATAAAAACATTGAACATAAAATGAAATAGCAATTTGGTTTCTCGGAAATTGCGTATTTTTGTTTGCGTCTGCATATTTGTCACGAGACCGCGCAATTTGTCTTCACCTTATGACATGTCCGGGACAACTGGAGAAGTAACAAAAAGAAAATCATTTATTGTAAACTTTATCCAACCTATATTATAGGAATCTTTTATTTTCCTTCACCGTAAGAACGTCGAATAAATGTACATACAAAATTCGATAATCGATAAACACATCGGTACATGGAGGTTATAGTACCAGGATTTTTTTTTTCTTTTTTTTTAGGGACTTTTGTTCTTTTGAACATGTCACTCTTCTAACATTCAACTTAAGAACTAAATACAACTATAAGTATACAAGCAAACGACAAAGCAATAAAAAAATCAAGCAATGATAATACCAAAAAGAAGAAATAATATTCACAATTTCTACAAAGCCTTTAGCACCATGCTTCGGACGCCGCCTGCTAGATCCGACAATGGTTGGGCTAAAGCAAACAGAAGTTCCCTAACATTGAAAGGTAATTTTAGATTGCTGTCCGGTCTGATCAAGCTCTCAATGACTTACGCTCTGACCGTTGGTCTCTAACAGAGCTAACAGTATGTTTTAAACGGGGAACTCACAAACACACGGTAGCTATAGCAGTTGTTTACTTTAAATTTACACACATAAGATTAAGAGTCATAGTGGCTCTAATCCAGACACAGTCGCCACAGGGGGGACACTTAAAGCCGGTGCTATTAATAAATATTCAACACAGAGAAAATATTTATTTAAACTCCAGCTCACGCATGCTATGGTTACTAAATTATTAAAGTGAATAGCACTGAGATCCTTGAAGACGCCGTTATAAATCACGCTGGAAAGATTAATGTTGTTCACTTGTGTATTTGCAGTTTGTTTCTTAATAATAAATTATGTGTATATACGACTAATAGACGCCTGCAACGCCAAAGTTACGAGAAACTTATGCGTTATTCGTTTATATCTGATCTACACATATTTTGTTAGTAATAATGTATCTTGTAAGTATTATTAGTAATAACATTTATTTAATTCATTCACGAATAATAATTTCAATATTTATTCATAACTAGCGGTTGGTTGGTTCGCTCGGATTTGAAAAAAAAACAAAATTAGTAGCCTATGCGTTCTTCCAGATTATGTTCTATAGGTAAGTAAAATTTTATCAAGATCTGTTCAGCCGTTCTGGAGATACCTTCAAACAAGATCCACCCATCCATCCATACAACCATCCAAACATTCATATTTATAACATAAGTAAGATACTAAATAAAATGAAAAATTATTTTAGCAACTTTTCTGGAATCGACATGTCACTCATCGACATTTATAACGTTGGAAATATTACTTTTAATAAGAAATTGGTAAAAACAAATGTTTAACACTTATTTGCGTCGAACAATATTTTTTTCCTCCGTAGAATCTATGAATATAATGTTAAAATTCACACACCTGCTCCTTACACTGTTCTCAGTTCTTTTATTCTCATGTATACTTAAAAAAATATGATAAAGTATATACATAATTATATATTCATTATTGAATACCTTATCGTACTTTTCACCTGCGCTATATACAAGTGTGATTTCCCAATGGAGCTCCTACACTTAGAAGTTTCGCGATTTTTTTTTAATAACTAATAAGTCATAGAAAAAGCATTCATTTCCAACAATAAAGATAGATAATTTTGTGATAATTTTTGTTGAAGAAATAGAGATAGCTTGGGCGAAGTAAAGCCACAGCTTTTTCCTTTCTTTTAAAGCTCTCGGCAAGAAAAGATTATCAAGAGCAATTTAAGTTTTTAACGAACTAACGTTAACTAAAGCTTCTTCACAAGTGTCTTGGAATAAGCTCGTCATTAAACTAAAGGTATCGCACCTATGAAGATTGGAGAAAAAAAGAACTTTGTTAATTTATATCATCACCGAATAGATTCGACAATTCAACATTGTATGTACTCGCGACGCAACCATATCATATTAGTTTCAAAGATTTACGTTTTCTTAGAACGCCCACTACGTTTGCTGCCGTTAATTGTCGGAACATGATATAGGTATTCAAACCTAGATATAACATTAAATTTCATGGTAAAAACCGGACGCCAAAGTTAAAGCGAGAGAAGCACCTACGTGTGAGTTTAGGATGGAGTAACAAGCTTTATTACTTACTTGTTAATTCGCCTACAAAACGTCTAATTGTAATGAATTTCTGCTGAATTAAATGTCATTCGCCTCTTTATAGGTTAGTAGGATATGATTACAATATTGATTTTTAAATCTGAGCCAGACTTCATTAACATAATTAAATGCAAATATGTCAAGGATGTGTGGATCACGTTCGGCAGGCACATCCATGCTCCCAAATAATTTAAAAATGCCGGAAGGACCGCACCTTTTCACACATATTTATTAGGAACCACTGACTTGCTGGAAATGTTTTATCTGCGCTTTCCAGTTGACTTGACAAACTGAGAATGAAAGTGAAAACATTTATTTTATTTTTATTCACGGATTTATCGCACTCTTTAGATGCGGTTATGCTGAAAGCAATTGTAATTTGAATTTTGTGTTCGGTTTTTTTAAGCACAAAAGGTTTCTTAGAAGTAAATATATTTACAAAATGTAAATACTGCTATTCGGCATACATATTTCGAGTGTCGCTATTTATTCTTTAGTATTGACATATGTAGATGCGAGATTTAATACCCACATTTCGAATATAATCGTCCAAATAAGCTTATTTTTATGAGTTAATCAAATAATTCTTTTAAAATTGATTATTTTCCGTAAAATAGAAATAAAAAGCTAAATGATTTTTAATACAGAGCGGGCTGTGCGCGGAATTTTTTTAATAAACTCAGAACAATGCATAGGTTCAATACTGTTTGGACGTAAAGTTTAATCTGCATATGAATTTACGAGAACTATCGTACGTGTGGAAATTTTACAATAAAACAAAATGAAAAAAATACAGTAGACAAATTGCTGTGTAAATTTTAACATTTACGAACAATACTTTTTCTGATTCCGATAAAAATGACGAATGTTCAAATTGGATTGCGGTAAGTCACATTTGAA